CATACAATAGGAAAATGTGTAACATTACTACATACTACGCGCTCTCGTCCCACATCGTTTGCGAGACTTTTATCGCAGTTTCAAAACAACATTTAAAGAAACAAATATCCGTTACCAGGATACGCACTATTATGGATATCGTGTTCAAGCCGTAAACATTCCATTGCCCTAGCATCCCATTTCGCCTACTCTCAGAATCGGCAATATATCCCATTCCGCCTACTCCCAATTATGCCTTGCTGTATTTAATATACTGTTTGTTCAAATTATTGGCGTTCTCATTTTATGTACCATCGTTTTCATTTCTGGTATCGCTGTAGTCTATGTATGCATGCCAATCATAAACCATATTTTATTATTTATAAATTATTAATTTAGTGATTGAGCGCTATCCTCGTTTTAAGGTCTAAAACTAGGTTTTATGCTTTTTGGTACAAAATGCTTTCCATACGCGTGTGTGCTGTAGCTGCAGGTGCAGGCTTGTTCTTCCTGCCAGTGGGTTCACGCGGTGAAATGCTGCACACTGCGCAGCCTGCACTTTTGCGTGGTTGGAAGGCGATACCGCGCCCGCTGTACTGTGAACACGTCAGCTGTTACACGCACAACACACGCTCGTGATTGGCTAGCAATGACACACCCCTGCTAACATCACGAGCAGCAAGAGTAGTCGGCTGCCACTGCCAGGGCCCTCTGCTGGCAGGCCACCAAGGCCACCAGTGCCTTACGGGGCCCTAGCGTATATAGGTACTGGTGTGCTAGCTCAAATAGTCGTTTGACTAGCGCTGCCTGAGATAAATTCGCATGCTACAGGAGCGTAGCTAGCTAACCTATTTTTCCTGGGGGTTGTGTGTTCTGGCCTTCTGGGAAAGTGACTCCCATTGACTTACCTTTTTTTGGGGGGGGGAGGGGGGTGCAACTGCTCCTCCTTGAACATCGACATGCATTGCAGCAAGTACATACTGCGATGGCGTGGTCAGTGTACCATTGACTCATAATTGATGGTACTCATAATTGATGGAGTAACATTTATTTTCGGGACGTGGGAGTAGACTATCTCAACAGGGGTGTAGCAAACACATTTTGCCTTGGGGGGGGGGCAAAACTACATGCGGACTGGGATCTAGACAGGTGACCGTGGCCATTTCACAGTTAACCTTGTAAAACTGCCCCCCTGACGCCCTCCGCCAGCTACGAGCCTGTTTATAATTACCTGGAAACCGGAAAATATATACCACATAACTTTCGGAAAGACATTTATGGGAAACAGGCAAACTGGGAATTGGGATTTAATTTAACTATAAACAATGAAATGGCATTTTTAAACGGGATATTGAAAACGTACTCCTACTCCGTCCCATTCCCCTGCTTATATCTTACAACGATAAACGTTCTACCTATCTACCTGTAGTCATTTACTCTTACTAGATCTGATAAACCCAACAGAGTAGCTTTGCTTTGCTGTGTTATGATGTTATCGCACACCTAATGTTGTTCATGCTCATCTATGTGTCTGTTGGCTCTCCTGTGTATTCATGCGAGCATGGCTCTAGTAAGTATAACATGCCATGTGTTTATAGTTTACAATACAGTTATGTGTTAAATGATTTAGCAGTAGCGAGTATCGCAGTAGAATACGTATAATAATATGCAATTCGAAAACGTAATGCGATGAGCTTTTATGTGTAGGTACATACGTGTGTGCGTGTACATGCGCGCACGTTTACAAGGGTATATGTGTGTCCGTGGGCACGCGTGTATGTGCGCGCGTGCGTATGTGCGCCTGCATGTGTGCATGTGCGTGCACACCTAAAGAAAAGTGCCCTATACTAAGCACACATGGTTGCCGTACGTTCTAGAGCTCAGCTGCATGGTGTATGAGGGCAGGGGGATGCACGCGGAAATTATAGTTACATAACGAGAAAAACTCGATTTCGTCAGCTCAGCGACAACGCTTCCTGTTTACCCGACCACTCACTTACGCACATATATACCATCATGAAATCATTAAATAAAAGGTCACCCCTATCACATCACTCAGCTATCTTAGCATGTCGCCACCGTCCCACCTCACAACCCAAACATGCTACCCACATGACTCACAAGCAGTTATATATCCTAAGGCGCTTGAAACCGCTAAATTCAATTTAGAATAAAAAAAACAGCGTATATATAGTATAGGCACCCAGCATCGTTATGCTGTAAAACGATGGACCAGCAGGCATAGAAACCACATGCATGGCATAGCATCAGGAGCGTCATAATATAGACAATATAGTATAGATATAATATACACATAAAAAAATATAAATAAATATAATACAAATATAAATTAATATAGTATATTATAGAAAAAATCCCTATAATATACTGTATTAATTTATAATTGTATTGTATTTAAAAAAAAAATTATGTGTAATGTGTATTATATCAGGATCGAGTAAGATCATATAGGTCCTATATTATCTTACTCCTGATTATATCTATACTGATACTATATAGTCTATATCATGATGCTCCTGATAGCATGGCATGGCAACTGGAACATACAATAGAAAATGTGTACATACTACATACTACGCGCTCTCTCCACAATCTTTGCGAGACTTTTATGCAGTTCAAACAACATTTAAGAAACAAATATTCCGTTACCAGTATACGCACTATTATGGATATCGTGTTCAAGCCGGTAACATTCCAGTTGGCCTACTCCCATTTCGCCTACTCTCAGAATCGGCAATATTCCCATTCCGCCTACTCCCATTATGCTTCTGTATTTAATATATGTTTGTCAAATTGCGTTCTCATTATTTGTACCCATGTTTTCTTCTGGTTCCTGTAGTCTATGTATGCATGCCAATCAAAA